AATGCATGTTGCTTTTTCAACATGTTTTACAGTACTTTCCCTGCACACACACACACTGGCTCAATTTGCATGGCACATTCATCATTACAAATGACAACATTTTGTAAATACATGTATACAATCCTGACCACTCAGGTCTGAACCAATTTATTGACTCATGATTATTCAGCTTACAGGGCCTAGGGTCCCAGTACACACACCTATTAACAAAATTGATACAAAGCAGTTCATTGGTGCAATACACACAAACACTGAATGCCTGTTACTACGTATAGAAAACATTAAAATACAAGGCATACAAATTACATTTTAAAAATATTTTTATATATTTATAAACGGCGTTTAAAATCGAAGCCTGACTGGTGTAATACATGTATGCTGTAGGAGTTCAGTACAGCATGGTGCAAACAAAATTACAAACACATATGACAAATGCTTTTAAATAACAATGTCACATTAAAAATAAGCCACCTTTATGGACAGGGTCACACAGCACCATCTTCCTTCAAATCTTGGTAAATTTAACATTGAAATCAATTTTAAAGTATACCGTACACAATACAGTTTTTTACTAGTAAGAGGCTTTCGGAATGCTCTCAGATTTAAATCAGATGTAAAGGGTCAGGTACTACTACAGGGTCAGGAGTGACTGCATTTCATTGCAATTTTTCAATCCAAACAGAACTGAATTAATCTTTGTAGTATCAATTGAATAAACATAGATGAAAAATGAAAAACACCAAGAAAACATTTTTCGTGGTATTTTGGAATCTTGTATCTCAAAAAATCAACCCAAATTTTTTTGGTATGAATTCATAATAATGAAGGCATGACAAACATGACATATAATGTCATGTTTATATAATATAATATTAATAAATATTTTTGTAGTTTTTCATGTAGTATCCTATTCACACTGGATGTGAAGGGCTTTTTACCATGAAAATGTGTGCGACTACAAAGCCATTTCCCACAATGCATTAGATTGGTAAAAACCTTAAAATGGTGTTTTATCACAAACGGACATGTTGATCAAGAAAAAGTGCATGTCATACTGCTACACTACCTTCCTAACTAAAATAGAAATTCGTGTTGAAGGTAATAGATATACTTTGTATGTTGTTGCACACTGGTGAGCAGATTTGGCAATGATATAAGATTATGACTTCTTTTTGCAGCATGCAATCAAATCTCATGAAAACAATGAATTTTACACATGTTGTATACATAGCATGGTTACCAATATTGAAGATGAGACAACGCGGCAACTGCAAAGTGTCAGAATGTCATATTGGTCTTTAAGTTTGATTATCTATTATATAACAACTATTCTATGCTTCCCACAATGCATGGAATTGACAGCTATCCCTTTAAATATACCGGTACAACACACAAAATATACTGACATGTACAAATATATACACATATATACTAACTAAATCAGATAGATTCTCAATTTAAGAAAAAAAAACACGTTTGAACCAATACAGCCACTTAAAATAGACCATCATAACACTGTAGATGACTTTATTTTAGCTGGAATTTACTTACACTTTTAAAACAGCAAAGTAGGTTGACCTACACAGTTTTTATTTACTGAATTGCCATTAGGTTAACAAAAAAATTGTTTCTGGTCAGCATGCTTATTCGTACAAAAGTCCCCACTCAAAACTTGGGGGAAGGGGGTTCAGCCAAAATACCGGGTACTGTTAAAGTGCAAAAAAATTAAGTAAGCCACTGCAGCATTTTTTTTTGCTACACCTTAAAGCCAGAAACAAATCTTTTTTTTTTTTAAATTCCAACCTAAACGGCCGTCAAAATACTGGAATTAGCATCTTTCAATGAATTTTTTTTGCTGATTTATTACAACAATGTAAATAAATTCTGAATAACAAAGTATTCAACAGTTATTGATATGTACTTTTACACAAAAATAACTACCGTAAAATCTGTATTAGAAGCCGCATCTCTAATACAAGTCGCACCCATTCTTTTTGAGCAATTGAGTACCAAACATTCACAATTTCTCATACGTGTAGATGCTCTAATTGAAGCCGCAACATCTAATACAGATTTTACAGTAGTCAGTAATTAGACGTTTACACAGGATGACACTTTCATGAAAACAATTACGACCACAGATAAAATGAATTGAAGTAGAACTTGTAAAAGAAAATAGCATATACCAGTAAAAAACAAAAACAAAATATTCACTATTACAAGTCAAAATGGGACAGCTTGTAACAGTCTCCCAATAAAATGTTTGGTACAAATAAACTTAGGAATTACAATTTAGCCCATTTTAGATTATAAATTGTTCACCATCAGTATTTGCTCTATCAGAAGAGTACATGAACAAAAATTACTTCAATAGTTTTAAATTTGCGTTCCCAATAAAAACCCATCTTTCTCCATGAGGTAACAGAAACATTGGTGTATGTATTGTATGTATGTACCGTATTGTGTTGTAATTTATATAACTCTCATTTTGAAAAATATACAAGACTTCTATTTTCTGGAAACGTTGATATGTGAAAATTTCACACAGACATATATATATACACACCAAACAAGTAAAGTTGAAATTAAGCCAATAAGTTTTGCACATTGATTTATGTTTTTTTCTGGTTTCTTTTTATCAACAAATAGTTTTTAAGAGTCTGCGTCAGTTTTGACATGTGAGTTTGCCCCTTCCTCATACCTTCTTAAATTCCAACTACAAAAATGTACATACAGTCATACAAATGTGCTCCAGAACACAAAATTAAAATCTAAAAATTCAACAAACTCCATATTTTAAAGATTGCCACCTTAATGTATTCATTGCACAAATGAATCACCCTCCAATTAGAGGGGGTCATGCCAATTGTTAGTGAACCATAGGGGTGGTAGGATAAACCATGTCTGAAATGCTACTCATGTATCATTACTGATACCCACTCCAGATGATAATGGTGTCACCCAAAGTTTGCTTCACAAAATATCTTTAGAAACTTGCTATAATTCATATATACTGAAGAGTTAACAGTCATGTCAGCTCAGACTGTCCCAATAATGATAGCACACATCAAATAGTTACAACCCTTGCTATCAATATGAGCTCAGTCGATTATCATAACATGTACATGTATAGATCTTAAAGACCTATGTAGTTTTTTTAATAGCTGCCATGATGTTTTAGATAAATTGTTTCTAAATGGATTTTATTATTACCTAGTCCTAAAGAATGTTTTCATAGAACGTTAGAGGAGCTTAATCCAAAGAAGACAATATTCATAAAAATACCTAAGCTTCATGACAAATGTAAACCCTGTGTTTCAGCATGAATTAAGACATTTACCCTAATCGACGACAATCAAGAAAAAGTATTGGCAAATATTATCAAATTTAATGTACTCCCTTGATATAATAGGGTTACTGAAACAAAAACTTCCTCATCCTCTTTTAAAAAACTGTAATGTAAATGGATCAACCAAACCATGGTTGAAATTGGACTGTACCAGCAATGGGGAGGGAGGGGGTTGGCAGCATTCTACAATGGGGGTAAGAAGCTGGAATGGATAGATATTAAGTACCATATTGTGTGAACATTGCCCGGTTACAGCTGATGGTATTCCATAGGAATCATCATTTATAGACCAAGTTTAACCAGTGACATATCACTACGCAGTCGTATCACTTCCCAGTACATGTCCTTTTCTGTCAAGTGAAAAGACAAAAGTGAGAATTATTTGCACGATAAATGTATTGACTTTATATGAAATGGGAAATATTAAGTGGGCTTGATTTTAGCAGATTTGATGTTACATTCTCCAGTTTATGAAGGAAATTATATTCTTAAATTTGAATATTTACTGAGAGTTTTATTTAATGTACTACATAAATATATCAGCAAAATGCGCAAAAATAAAAACAATGAATAATTGTAGTGTATAACGTTTTTTTTTTTGATGAATGCATTGAATAATAAATAATTCCTAACTTCTTGTCAAATGAGGGGAAGGGGGGTTGCAACTTATTTTACAAGACTGTATTAAAGTTCAACTACAGCCAGCAAAATAAAATGACAAACACAAGGAACTACTGCACAAACATAGTACTGCTATAATTAGATTTTATAAATTACAGGTATCTCTAAAAAAAATTATATTTAAACTGGATCAATAAAATATGATTTTGACCACAGACACATTTATCTGACTTTTACATAAATGTATGTTCACTAATAATACAAATACAGTAAATGCCATGGCAAAAAAAAGAAAATTGTGTACGTTTGTTTGATCACAGCTATTCACTTCGAATGAACTTACCATCAGCTTTCACTAAACCCTGTTTAATGTACCTCAGGTAAGTGTAAAAATCACACACAGCAGTTATCTGAAACACAACACATTGTATTAGTTAATACCTATGCTAACGTGTCTTTACCTGAAGGTTATTATTGTTGGTATTGATTTGTTTGTTTGTTGAACTTGAGCAACATTTCATACTGATTAAGTTGATAATGAAGTTTGAAGATGAATAAGAATTGCTTGAGTTGTTGTTACCACAAGGAACAACGGGAACAACAACAAGGTCAAATGTAAGTTCTGCTTCATTAATATTACTAATAAGCTAACAAAAGTCAACACAAATATTGTACTACTGAGAAATACATACCCTGTCTCTACATGCAGCCGATATATTATACCATTTGTCGGTTTCACCAAGACGAAAACGATATTTGCAAACTTTTTGAGTGCCGGTTAGTGCACATTTTCTGAAATAAACATGAAAAAAAATAAATAAGAAATAAATACTTTAAAATTTTGTTGTTTTTGGATGTCACTTTTTGTACAAAGTTCTTAATGTATGCTGTACGTTGTATCATGTAATGATACCATGAAGATCCAGTCATAATATTTGAACAAATAAAACATACTTGTTGCATGTACATTTGTAAGTAAAACAAGGAAGAACCAAACTCCTCTACCCTTAAAGAAAAACCGATACTATAAATAGGGGCAAGACGGCCATCGCAATTAGTATGCTAATTCGAACCAAGCCGCTCACATCGTGGCGGGAGCTCCGGGAAATTTCTACAGGGGCATGAATATGTACGCTAGCGATTACACTCGTCTGGTTGGGCTTTTGATGTATTAAATTTTCGGTTGAAGCGTGCAGCGACAATTAAAAATTATGAGTTTAAAATGGCGGCTAATGTATGCAAAATGCCTGTCAATCACAGTTTGAGTAAGCGAGCATAATAAGCATTCATTTACTTAGTGGACAGAGGCGGAGTTAATTACCCATGTGCACTTGGTGCAATCCATGGATTGAGCGGTTCCCCTTTAACCTTTTCATCACCAGACATGCTCAGTAAATTTTTTCTGCACTTGTTTCTTATACATGTATGTCTTTCAATATTAAAGGGAATGAACCTTAATTATGGAGCTAACAGACAAAATTTGAGTAAATTTTTAGTTTTTGGCTATTTTTTTTCCAATCTTCTGAAAAGAAGTGTCGTCTATAAACACGACTATTTTGTGAATTTGTGGTGAAAAGGTTAATGAGATGTACTTACTTTGGGTAAGAAGAAGTCATTATCGGTTCTATGCACAAAATATTTTTTTCTATACAGTTCAACAATGCGCTGCATAACTCGGCATTTGCAAAGTGTAAACATGGTTCAATGTCTTCTTGAAGTACCCTCTTAATAAACACCGACTCGTGATTATCTGCGTGTGTAGCTCGCTTGAATGCTATGAACTCCTGGTATAGCATTGGATCGATCTGTCCGAACAAAATAGATCACAAATGACGTCAATAAGTAATACATACCGGTAATGTTATTTATTATTCATGAAATTGTTCAAAAACTGGAAAAGCGACAGATGTATAAATAATTTTGTTTTGACAGTAACAGGTACACTTCTTTGTGATTTCAGCAAATCTCTGAAAAGCCACAAAAAAATTGGGGTTTAATTATTTCCCAATATGATTTTTCTCGACAAAATGTAGGTGCCATATTTTATATATTTTTAGTATTTTTCTATAATTACATGATTGATAATTTTGAATCAAACATCTCATTGGTTACCACATTTATTCACTAATAGTACATGTCCTTATGTAGATTACAAAGTTGATTCTATAACCAGAATAAGTAATTCAGCATGCTACTAATGTGATTTTTTTTATTTATATGCACTTCTGCTGTGATGCATTTCTATTAGAGCAAACACCGCACAAGTCTTGATTAAAATTTTTGAAATAATGAGGTGAGTTCAAAGGTTATAGATTGTTATCATTTGAACATTCTGTCTATATTTGATTTGTTTGATCAGCATTCACAAGAAAATTCTGTATTTGTCGTTGCCATTCAATCACTGTACTATATCAGGGACTGTATTAGTCTATAAAACTATTCACATACAGTGTAGCATATTTTAATTTTAAATCAGAATTCAAACTTTTAATTGTCTTTTACAACAGGCAGTAAAAAGGAAATGAGACAGAAAGTTTCTGTTTTATCTAATTCTGTGATGAAGTTTATGTTAAAATAAACCTGGAGCAATCAAACATTGGTAACTATACACTAGGTTTTGTATTCGCTGATAAGTGAAATATGCTAAATCCACATGAACAGCTTAAATGTACAAGAGAACTAAAAAATCCATGAATTTAAGATGTAATGAATATTCTGCGCTTATAATAGAACAAATACGATACCTGATAATATATCTGGAGAACAGAAGAAAAAGAAATAATACTGTGAGACTCACTTCTTTTTGTTCTGCTGGAACTTGTATCGGTGTTAGCCCGCCGACACTACTGGCTTTTTGATGGCTGGGGCTAAACGATGGGTTTGGGGTATGGTTGCCATGGCGAAGAAATCCAAGTTTGGACTTCCTGTAGTGCATGCTGGGTGTGGATGTGATTACCAAGCTCTTCAAAGCACTCACTTCAGCTTGCAGTACATCAATCTAAAGAACACAAGAAATCAACGATATTCAATATATATTCAATCTAAATAAACTAAATAAATACTACAAAGCCATTTTTAAAAACAAAATAAATGTACCCAATTTGATGCAAATTACTGCATGTAAAAAAAATTGAATTATTTGAAATGTTTGTCTCTCTAAATATTACGTTACTTTTGGCACCTTACATGTAACTGGTGAAAAATAACGTTCAAATGATAATTTATTTCGATTTTGTTTTTGATTTCTCTCATTCCAACAATTTAATATCTGAAGCATAATGTAAGCTGGTCAAATTTAACAATTTCATAATTATTCATATAACTGAAATAAAACTGAAATACACTGGCTGCATCTCACTCACTTTTGTCTGTGCTTCTTTTAAAGCTTTCTCTGACGTAGCTTGTTTGATGTTGGCTTCACGCACCATCCCATGAGCCTCCTGTAATGTAAGGAATGTACTTAAAGGGCAAAGGTCGCTGTGAAGCCTCATAAGTAATGTGAAATTAATTTTCGCTTAAATGACATTTTCAATGTTTTGTATGGAATTTATTTTCACTGATTTTTTAAAATATAGGGAAAAAGGTACATTCACTAAATTTTATTTTCACTGAATCTTTCCTTCAGCGAAAATAGCGAAAATTAATTCCAAGCGAACATAAAGTATTCTACAGTATATAATATACATATACATGTATTTTGCAGTTGACATCATCTGTAATAGGATGTTGTCTGTTTAGGAATAAAATAACAATACAGTCATGTGTGCCCTTGTGTACATGTATTCTGGGATATTCACCTGAAATAAGCAAGCCGTTAATTCTTCCAATTCTCGGTCCATTTCTGTCTGTATTCCAGACAACTTGGCAACTTGTTCATCCTTTAGTTGAAGTGCCTGAAAGAAATCATTAACATGAATTCCACCTCGTAGCATTGTACCACTAAATTTTTACTGCCATAAATTGATTAATTTTAATTAATTCAAGTCATGGGCTTTCCAAACATATATAGATTGTATGGTTTCTTGTAAAATTTATTCCGATTATAGGTGTTTACATTTTCATACAAAAAACTATCCTGCTACCTTAGGCCAGACTTTTATTATCCCTTGTTTCGCGAATGAACAGGAGCCGAAAATGAAATAAAAATAAAATTTAATTTCAGCGTAATTTCTTGCGCCCGCCGACTTGTAAGCGCAAAAAATGCTAAAAAAATATTATTTTTATCTTTATTTTTTTCACCGCTCGCCGCATAACAAATCCAAGTTGCATTTTTGTGGGAGTATCATGATCAAAGTACCGAAGTCTTGTGCAGATGAGAAACAAGGTTATACATGGAATAAAATTTTATTTCATTTCTTCACTTACAATTCTTTGAGAATCACACAAATCTAATGGAAAAAAGAATTAATTTAATTTTTTTCCTGCCCTCCTCAAAAAAATTGCCTTATAAAAACTCGAGAAACAAGGAATAAAAAAAGTCTGGCCTTAAAGTGAATGAAATGTATAGACTTCATTGTGAATCACTGTAAAAAACTTTAAGCTGTACAACATTTTGTGATTCCCCATAACTTGTAAAATTTATGATAATTTGTCACTCAGTAAATGTAATCAGTATTTTACAAAGGTTTCTGATTACTGAGTTTTTACAAATTAAATCCATGTGAACATGTGAAGTAACAATAGAACTCATTGTTTCCCTTCCAAATCAGTGAACTTAAAGCCTCAAACTTAAAGGCTCAAACATCAAAATAAGTATGATAAATCAGGAATTTTAAACAAATATGCAAGAAACATGAATAAATGCTGAAGAAAAGTTAAAACTACTGACTAGAGAGATATTAAAATTACCTCTTGTGCTTTCCTCAGTTCAACCTGAAGTTTATCAATTGCTTGCATCCGAGCTGATTCGGCAGTCGATTGACTTCTGACTCTCGTCACATCGCCGTTGTTGTCCCACTCATTGTCAAAACTGCTTTTAAAATTGATAGGACCTCCATTGCTATTAAACAGAACAGAAACATTTCAAAAATATTGGCCAAAAGACTGAATTCAAGATCACCATGAAAGAATGAATTCTACAAGTACCGAAGATAAATTATATACCTAGTAACAAAGCAATTGAACTGGAAGATGAAAATGAAATTGAAAACGGTAGACAACCACTTATATGAGCAGCCTCGCTCTGTCAAATTCCAGCTCCTTCTAAACACAGGGTATGTGCTGCTCTCAATACTGATAATTAATTAAAAAGGATGGATAATTGGGAAACCCAAAATATTCATGCATCAAATTAGACAATAAATATGTACCGACCTCTCAGTCTCATTTTTCTCGATGCTCTCCACTGACTTATTATCATCATGGCAATCAGAAATCTTCTCCTGTTCATCGTCGTCACATGGAAGATCATTTTTACTCAAGATAGGTGTGCTCTTTGCTCTTTGAAGACCAGTGATCTCAACAGCCAGAGACTCTGGTTTGTTTATTGCATGCAACTGCTGTTTACGTTTCAAACGAAAGTTCTTGATTTTCATCATGATGATAGAGGGCGCTATCAAGCTCTGATTGTTTGTCACACTGATAATTTAAGTCCTGAAGTTCATGATCATTTATTAATTCAGATCAGTAAGAGGAAAACACACAAATATGGACGTTACGAGAAATGACCTGTTTGTGTGGCGATTCATGGTCTCTTGAGGTGTTCTGTAGATGTTAGAAAAAATACGAAGTTTAGTGCAGTTTCTGGATTATGTAAACTGGTTGAGCCAATTAAAATAGTTTTAACAAACCAACCAACAAACCAACAAACAAACAACAACAACAACAACAACAACAACAACAACAACAACATAAATAAATAAATAAATAAATAAATAAATAAATAAATAAATAAATAAATAAATAAATAAATAAATAAATAAATAATGAGCTATGTTTTTGATGTTGTTTTTGATAACTTGGAGGTATATAAACTATCCTATTAACAACAAAACTATAGCAACCCTGACAGACAAGACGAACAGATACATAAATAAACAGACAAAAAAAGAAATAAAATAACAAAATAAATAAATAGCGAGCCGAGTTTTTGGCTAATCATTTTGCTAGAAGTACACTGACAATAAAGCTGTCAATGTGTTCTACAATGGAAGAAGAACACAATATTGTATTTTATTTGTTCATACTGTATAGTTGTCATCTATACTGGTATTGTTATCAACATAGCATTCTATGTCCCACAGCAATGGTTACACAGAGCGTGACACACAGATTGATTCATGCATAAAGTGCTTTCTTATTCTCAACAGAAACTGCAAACCATGAACAAATTCATCAGAGAAATTCAAGCAGATAGGTTCCTATACACTTGAAAATAAGGACATCAACAATAGAAATTACCAGCTGTCTCCAAATATGCTAATGTAGATTATTTTCTTGACAACAGGAAAAATGTTGTCTCTGTTTAAGAGGGAGGCATAAACAATCATATTTGACCTGAAATAATTAGATTACACACTCTCAATAACAGTTACTTTTTATAGAAGTACTGTAGAATAATTCACTATCCTGGGGATTTCACTGATAGACAGCAAGAAACTTTTCTCTGAAATGGAGCTTATATCAAAACTAGGAAACATATTCTCATAGTTTGTATTCATTACAGTGCATTATTTTTTTTTTAATCTTCCAAATTTGGGTGTGAAGAATTTTATGTTAATATATGAGGAAATTATCTCTCATCAAAACCCACCATCAAAATTAATATATACTTTGCTGAATGTGTCTGTTCCCACGATTAGTGAATATAAATCTGGAAATCTGTTCTTTTTCTGTGGTCTGAATTTAATTTATGCTGAATTTGTAAAAACGTGATTTACAGCGAAATCAAATACAGCTAAATTCACAGTACCATATTAGTTCGATTAGTAGTACATGCACTTATGCACATGAAGGGGATAGTCATGCTTTAGCCTTACCCAGTCAAGTCAAAGTAAAAAGCACATGTGGCTGGCAAGTTTGGGATTGGGATGTGCACTTCTACACTGTACATATTATTCATGTCAGCTCAATAAAAGAAACGTTTACAATAAAGAAAAGAAGAGTACAATCACAATGCCAGACATGACAGTAGGGTGGAGTCAGACTGAAGTGTGTTAGAAAACAGGACACAATGGTTCACAAACTCAATACTGTTTTTCTCTAGGGACAGATGACTAATGGAATGTTCACTTGTTTGAAAACAATGTAGTGGGTACAAACATACAGTCACAGAGACCCACTAAATGGTGTATACTGTTATAAAAAGTACTGTGCAATTTAGTAGAAGCGAAAAATGTTATTGTAATTTATAAGATAAATCAAAAAAGACTATCATGAAACTTTATTGACACTGAAGTTGTCAAATTACGATATCAAATTATAGCAGAGAAAAATAAACTGTATGTGAAGCTGAGTGTATAAGTATATGTATTTGTACCATACATGTATTTATAGCAACAATATGATACTGTAAAATACTAAATATCAGCTAATTAATTTTCACTCTTTGGGTGTTTTGTATGGAATTTATTTTTCACTGACTATTGACGAGTTGAATGTAAAATATAGAAAAGAAAGGTATATACACTGGATCACCAATTCAGGAAATATAGCAAAAATTTATTCTACGCGAAAATAAAAAAATATTTTATAGTAATTTCAGACTAGATAACAAGAACCCTCACACAATGCATTGAAACTAAGTTCATTTTGATAGGATAGCATATTTTTGTCAATCTTCAAAAACCATCATGGTTACAACTGCAACAGCACGGCTATCGCTATGATCATACATCACTTGTAATTAACATTAATTATCATATAATTCAAAAATTACAACTTCTCTGTCTTTAAATGGTAGCTGGTTAACATCCATGCTTTTATGAGTTGTATTCGGTTTGTAATACAGCCAAGTTATCAACCAGCTAGAGTCAGTAATTCACTAGATAGTCATTACCTAGGGATTACCTTGCTCATCAGGTCATATCATCCTAGCGATAAACAATCAAACGAACTAAACACGTCAATGTTATCAGATCTGTATAACTAATACTTGGGTACAATGTGCAATGATGAGCATATTTTATTGTTTGATTTATATTTTAACCGCCCAGTTCAGTAGATGACTTTATTTTATTTTAGGCCAGACTTTTTATTCCTTGTTTCTCGAGTTTTTAAAAGTAAATTTTGTAATTCTTTTTTTCCTTTAGATTTGTGTGATTCTCAAAGAATTGTAAGTGAGATCATTGATCGGAGAGAAGAAATGTAATAAAATTCTATTCCATGTATAACCTGGTTGGCATCAATTGGGGCACAATTAGCATTAATGAGGGATTTCTTGTTTTTTGACGACAGAGTTTCACGGCGTACCATCACAAACCACGCCGCCATGTTCGCCTAGTAGTCTCAAGCAGCACGCAGAGAGGTCAATACTTGATATTCAATGTCAACCAATGGGCATAAAGTATAGAACTGCGCGAGAATTCGGTACTTTGATCATGATACTCCCATGAAAATGCAACTTGGATTTGTTAGGCGGCGGGCGGAAAGAATTTTTTTTAGCAAATTTTTGCACTCACAAGTCAGCGTGGCCTTAGTGTGAGGCGTAATATTTCTTTACTATCAGAGTTTAAGGGTAATCTAGAGACAAGTAAAATTGCCATTCAGACTAAAATATGGTTACATTGATTACCGAAAATGGAAAAATTACAAACTGTAAGCTAATACACCTACAATGTATTAAAATTGAAATATTGCTAATGGGAAAAAAAATAGGAAATGGGAAATTGATGCTATGTTGAAGAGGTGTGATTTTTTAAAAATAAATTTGACTAAAGATACATTCATTGGAGTGTTGTTACTGTATTACCAATTATCATTGTCAGATATTTAAATGTTATTCGTCCTGACTTATTCAAATAATTTATTTCTTTGATCGCTGTGAAAAAAAGTCCTGTTGTGACAAAATGATGCAAATAGTGTACTTAACTCACTACCCTTATAACACTGTTATTATATACCAGACAACATACATTTCAGACAAGCGAGTTTAAAAAGGTTAATGACAATCTTGCAAATATGTAATTATGTTTTGCTTGCAACTCGATGAAAACAAATTATAGAATGAACAAAATAAAACCGACCAGCGGGAAAATGGTAAAATACTACGAGAGATAAAAAAGACAGACGTTTCGAGTTCAACTCTTTGTCAGCGTGATTATAACAAACTAACTTTGAGCTAAAATAAACTATTATCACATGGTATTTGTCATACGTAGACATGCACATATACCCGGTATCTAATCATAATCTTAAAATTCTATACGATGATATACAAAGTCACACCCATAGTTTTAACCACACATTGAAATACAGGGGTTTGTTGTAAGATAATACTGTGAAATACTTTATTTTAGCTGGAATTGATTTTCACTGAAAAGACATTTTGAGTGTTTTGTATCAAATTTATTTTCACTTCATTTTTGACAAGTTGAATATAAAATACAGGAAAAAGGGTATATTCATGAAATAGCAAAAATTAATTCTTGGGCGAAAATAAAGTATTTTACAGAAGATAGTCTTATTTCAATTCTGCGAGACAATTTTCAAAGATTTTCGAAGTGATTGAAAGTTATACATTTGGACGATATTGTAGCGCTCAATGAAAAAAAGTGTGATCCATGAAGAGATTAATTTTGAAAGATAATTTATGAGACAATGTACCTAACATTACTGGGGGCAACAGCTAGCATGCAGACAACAGGAATGTATAAATGTGGTTCATCATGAGTCAACTGAATGCGTGTTTTACCCCATGGGCAGAAGCTGTCTCAAATCATTTGTCATAATAAACTGATATTTTTATCACTGGTCCCATTTTAATTTTTTTCTCTTAGGGGTCCAGGATTTGAAATCATGAAGGTGGTGGGGTTGGCAGGAAAAGTGCTACTGATATGGTGCAAACTTTTACATGTTGTATTTGTACATTTTTATTTTTCTTGAACATCTATTTCATGTAGCACTATGTATCTAGCTTGCAAACTGTTTTTCAGACCCCCTCCCCCCCACATGTTTTCAAATCATTAACCCCTTACAACATTTAGAAATTTGATATAATCTGATTAGTTTCTATTTTATTTTAACTGGATGCAAAAGATCATGCTTGAATTATTAAAAATAATCTCATTCTGATTAAAATTATATCTGAAAAACTGCCATGATTGTTTTTCAAGTGACCAAGTTACACAATTATATCATACAAAACAAGGCACACTGCAGTGTCTCATAAATCACATTGTGCATCCTGAAGATTAATACAAATCAGAACAGTAAAAATATAACGGTTTAACTCTTTGAATGTCAAAGTCAACTTTCGGCATCAATCACAAATTAAAATTGTAGTATATTTTCGATATTTTTTTAAAGGCAGATAGCAAATAAGAGATTAAATCCAAAATTAGCTTATAAAAAAGAATTTTGAACCAGTCACTGGTAGCATAGTGGTTGTTGCATCTAAATCATGATCTGTAGACCCAGGTTTAAATCCTACCATAGGCTGACCCCTACCCCAATGGGAAAGCCAATTCCACTGGCTGAGATTCATTCGCTAACAAATGCGACTTTGGGGGAACCTTTGTAAAGGTCTGCAGGTGTATTGTGTATTCATTCCCAAACATGAATATGGCTTCTGTGGCAAATATGCACTTTGGTCAGCACTAGCACTTTGCACATACAAAAAAGTCAGAAGAGACAAAAGTGACATACAATGTCCAGAACTGTCACCTGGCACAAAAACATTTAAAAAAAGAAATTAAAGAAAAAAAGAATTTTCGGAAAAAAACACTAAAATGTTACATTAGAAATTTGGAGGAAAAAATTATGCATTTAAAGGGTTAATAAGGAATGTATGATTGATTAATAACTGTCATGCAATAATAAACAATATTTATTGTCACTCTCTGTGTTTATGTCACTGATATCCGGGTGTACATATGCTTGACTAGGAAGTATGTAGAACATAAATATGTTTACACAATACAAAACAATCGGCATATTTCCCTGTTTTGTAGTTAACCCTAGATTAATAAGCAATGACACTGGTTTCACAAGGAGGTAGTTAATTGTGTTTACGTCATACAGTATCTCAAGTGGTATTTTAATAAGTTGCGGGGAGACAAAACATATATATATACAATGTGTTCTAGTTTGAGTTGTCCTTTTCTACAACCACATGTTAGTCTGATTTTTTTGAAAGTTTCAATTTTGGACAATATCTGTATAGATGTATTGAATGCAATACAGATGTGAGAATACAAGGTTTTTACAAGCATGAATTTAGAAAGTTTGGTTAGATTGTATTTAAGGCTCAATTTATCAACTTAAATGCAAGCAACTGAGAAATATTAAACTTGCTGTCTTTAGTAAATGACGAGTTGACTTTGGTGCTGACAAATTTATTGTGAGAAACATTTTTGTGAATTTTGCGAATAATGGTACTGGTACATGTAGCAAAAGCTGCATTTGTTTTGACATGAGTACATTTCGTTATCAGAAATGCCTTTATGAATGCATGTAAAAACACTTGATACAAAAATCTCTTTCATGTGAAGGGCAATATGGATGACCGAAAGCCTGGAGTTACCAAACTATTTTTTTTAATTATGAATTTCAGTTGGATGCATTCATAAAAATTTCAATTTAACATAGCCAGTAATGTGATGCCTAAAATGATAGGGAAATCACAAAGTCATTGTTAGGGTACAACCATCATTTTCTTATATTTGAACAATTTGTTATGTTTTTTTTTTTTAAATTTCCTGCATTTTTGATAGCTGTATAACGTATGACCTATGGAAAAATTGGGCATTTGGTTCAGTCCAAAATTATCGCCCCCCAAAAAAGAAAGAAAAATACAAAAAATTAAATAACCACAAATACTGCACCAACATTTTGACTTGTAAAATCATAGATGATGTGTTTGCTGAAATATTAACTACAAGTACAAAAATTAGGCAGTCAAGATGAATTCATAAACATACAGAGACAGTGCTGGGAGTAAGAAATCTGTCATTTCTGTATGGATCGCCTTGTCACACCCTTATCCTCAAGAATCCTCATATTTACTAAGCCCTACATCGGTGTATTATTGTGTGAACCCATACTAATCACATTAAAATAAGTAGCAAGTTGTTGACAACTTTCAAGGTCGTCGTGACACAGTGATTCAATTGTCTTTTTCTAAACGAATTACAGTTTCTCCGCCCAGACGCAACCTTCGCAGGTCATCGATGATCAAGCAACGTATATAAAAAAAAAAAACATGTTTATTTTACGACATTTATTATTAAATCAGATTTCTGACACACGGAACTGCCTGCGCACAACAGTCAAAACAACAGTTAACACGTTAATAGTCAGTTCCGGCAGAATGGCCTTGTTCTAATTATTTGTTTATTATTCGGCAGCCAAATGCAACACAGACAGACAGCTTTGGATCGAAGACAACACAACGACGATAACAGAGAACATCACAAACGTAATGTCACCACCTCGGTTGCACAATTCGACTTCAAATCGTGAGAAAATATGGAATTATATCACAAACGTCGGAATAATGAAATCAATTGATTGAATAAGTGGATACAAAAAAAGAAACGCCTACCTGTAAACTTGCCCTCAAACTACCGGTTCACTGACAGACGCCATTTTGTTGAATATGTCACGTGAATGGTAAGTTTGGAATCAACCATTAATTATGGGTGGAGAGAGCTATGCATTTGTAGTTCAAAATAGATTTGGCTAAACATCTTTTAGGACAGGGACACGTGTATGTGTCGTACCATATTAGGCTAGTATGTAAAGACTGTGGTTAAGAAAAATAAAATGTCGCTGCAAAACAGACAATGTAATCGAGCCCCTCCATTCTGAAACTTATAGTATCGCCCGGATTTACTAGTATTTGTCACCTGACTTTATATCTGCGAATCCGCCAAAAACCGGAAGACGCGTCCCGTCGATAATAATGTGATCGTGATCAAATGCGACTAAAATGTGAGTTTTTACAGATTATTTTTTGTATTAGATAGCTTCCATATGAACTGCAAAACCATATCATATATATCTATCTGTCAATAACATCACATAGTACTGAATGCAATTCCAAATCATGACATTTTAGTCTTCCATACTCCGTGCTCTCATTCCAAAATGAAACTCAGTATGGTACGAGACGCGGTCGATGATTTTACGAAACAACGGGCAATGTAAATCAGAATCAACCCACTATATCTCAAATGCGCTTGCTACACCGATGCTTTTTTTTTTTTTTTTTCACGTCACACGTTGAATCACATGATCCTGATCGGTTTTGCCAAGATGTTTTCTTATGAGCACTGTGCCCTGGTGAACTTACTGATCAGCCCGTATATTATCAACATGTCATATTGGCTGAAATATTAATAGATCCGCATCAAACCTTGTGATGCTTCAACAAATAAAGAAGTGAAATCCACTGGTAACCATATATAGGTTTTAAAATATACCTAATGAGTTTTCCTATGTGTCCTTCGATATTCGATACAGCCATATACCTTAGAAAGGTCTAAGATCTATAACCAAACCAACTTTCAAAATCCTTTCGAAATGTTGCTTTGGTAACTTTTGAAAAAAAATCAATTTACTACGCTAGGTAATGAGAGCAAGAATATATACTGTGGAATACTTTATTTTCGCTGGAATGAATTTTCGCTGAAAAGGCTTTATGGGCGATTTTTATGGAATTTATTTTCACTGATTTTTGATGAGGTGAATGTGAAATATAAGAAAAAATGTATATTTGGTGGATTTTATTTTCACGGAATCATCCCTTTACTTTAGCGAAAATAGCGAAAATAAATTCCAAGCGAAAATAAAGTATTCTACAGTACTGTAGGTCTTTAAAAAATTAATACAAACTAGCACTGGTGTGTATGGCCCAATGTTTCTCTATGGAGAGAGGAGAGGCTTAGATCATGGAACTATACAGAGATGTAGTACTGTAAAATATTTTAGCTGGAATTAATTTTCGCTGAAAAGACTTTTTTGGTGTTTCGAATGGTATTTATTTTCACTAATTTTTCACTGGTTGAATGTAAAATATAGGAAAAAGGTATATTCGCTGGATTTTATTTTCACTGAATCATTCCTTCAGCAAAAATAGCAAAAAATTAGTTCCAAGCGAAAATAAAGTATTTTACAGTACATTGTTTATTGTCTTATAAGATGTAACTGAAACTACTACAGTCTATAAATGGTCAGTGATTACTCTGGAACAGATGTCTATCATTTGACTACCTTTGATTCAATTGGTGTACCGGTATTTACATAACAATATCACTGGCAACATGCACAATGACCCCCCTCCCTGTCTTGCACCATTGCATATGAAATTACTGTTTTAAACACCCAACTGCCCTATATATTAAGCCTTTCAGGCAATCCCTTCAGATGTTTGTAGATTAGCTTCTAGTGAGGATTGCATATTTCTTGAAGCAAAGTGAAATATACATAGTTGTACTCATTATCATATGGACAATGTAAGTATGTTAAAATTGTTTTGCATTAACATGTTCTGTTAGAAGTAAACTGAAAGAATCGGTTTTAGCAATGGACA